GTGCCATCATCAGCCTTGCGGTCTTTCTGTGAGGACTTTATCGTTCTTCCTAAGGTTGGGGCTTGATTGTGATCTTCGGTCAGTCATGTCCTAGCTATATCTCAGCACATAAATCCTCTCGACGCGTTCTTCCTCCGGGATCAGGAGGTCTCAAAACAGAGCCCACCGTTGCCTTTCGGCCCATACTTCTTCCCGTTGTTGCACGTAATCGTTCTGGCATCTGTGGCGCTGCGAGATTTGGCCGGTTTGCCATGGCTATCCAGGCTACGACCAAACTCCAGGATCACAGGTGCACATCTGTTAACTACCGTAGCTCCCGTCGTGTGCGTGTTCTGTGGTCACAGCCTGGTGAACATCGCATGGTCCGCTTTCGCCTTGCTCATTGTGCTCCTTGATGACTTTATTCGGGCCATGATAAAGATGAGTGCAGAGAATGTGGCTAGCTTGGAGCGGTCGAAATACGTCGCCAAGGGCGCGTGAGGCGGTCCTATGCACTGGAAATATTCATGTTTTGGTTTTCGTAACAATGGGTCGGAGGAACGACGTATGTACGATTATGTACTGGTGCCTTGACCGAAGATTGAAGGTCTCGGTGGTACTATGTACTACAGTCTGAGGCGTTTGCAAACCACCTGTTGTTCGCCTAGCTTGGTGTCAGGGCTAGATTAACATCCTGGTCGCCGAAGGGGTCGAGAGTGAGGCTGGAGCTATGGTCTGGTGCGTACTACTCGTACAGTAGTGCTAGTGCGTACATGGGCTGGGATCGAGCGCTCGAACATCGGCCTACATTCGGTGATGGGCCATCCCAAAAACCTGACACAAGACGACATGATGTTGGGGATGAGGAACATGTCTTCTGCGCCACTCCTCTCCCCTTTACCGTCACCCTCTTCCAGTCCAAGGCAAGACCATGGAGTATTACCGTCGCCCCCACCAGCGCGCGCCGTCTGATGGCATTGGCATCGCGTCTTGTTCTTCAAGTCGTCAGGATGAAGCCCCCTCTCGGCCAGCTGGAGAAAATTCAATCTATATCTTCCCCAGTCCCCCTTCTGCTCCACCGAGTCCCAGCCTTATCGCGCCTCCATCTTTAGTCCTTCTCGACCGTGTCTCATCCGTTGGCACAACTACCTTGCGTTCGCGCTCTGCCAGCTTGGTCACCGAGACCGCAGACCTTGAATGGGAGCCGGATGATGTTCGTTCGCCAGTGGGTTCCGCCGTTTCTGGAGGTGAAGATATTGGAGTGGGACCTTGGGAATGGCCAGCATCCGCAGAGGGCACCATTGAAGAGAATGAAGTCGACCTGAATGAGTCGATCATGCGGCTAAGCAAGTGGGACCCGCGCGTGTCTCGTCGCGCTCTTCATCCCCAGCATACCCTACCATCCCTTCCGCTGGCTATTCGGGCACAACGATCAGCTGCAAGGGAACCATCACCACGGGATCTTTCATGGATTCGCGCACGCACGGAATCTGCGACGAGCTCGCTCTCTTCAGTCATCAATATTCCCGTACCACATCCTCGTATCCGTTTGCCACTGCTATCCTTCTTTGCTTCGCTCCTCCGCATCGACGATTCTACCCTGCATCTCATCTCATATACTCCAGAGGAATCCGTGCTCTTTCCCGGGCATCGGGTCGAGCTCTTTGATGAGCGCGCGGATGAGTCGCTTCTTCACGGGTCAGCGGCATTGCTCCTTGAGCAAAAAGAGGGCACCGTTTTGAAAGAGGGAATGCATACCGCCTGTGACTCGTCGCTCAACCATCCAAATTCGTTTGCCCTTACCCCCATCCCCCTGACTGGCCTGTTTTGGATGGTCAAGAGTATCTGGTCCGGAAGTCGCAGCGCGCTCAGAGAAGTTCTCCAATAGCATGCTTGTATTTGTACACATTGGTATATTTGCGGTTACCATCGCTGGGAATCATTCTGGTACTCTACGTGCTCGCAGGTAATCCATTATCGTGTCTCACTACGGGGCCAGCGAAGTATCCAGAATCACCGAAGCGAGGTAATCACGCACGGAAAACATGTCTAGGTGCTTTAGGACGTCCCTTGCATTTTGCAGCTTCTGTCTGCGCCGTGGTCATGTAGCGCAAGTCCGCCCAGACCCCGCTGTTCTCACGCACCATCTTGCCCTACCCTTGAGCAGTTTACGCACTTCTTGCAGACATTGTGCCCTGCTCCCTTTCCTTTGACTACCCGTGCCTCCGGCTGGCAGCGAGATGATTTATTCATCAGTCCTTCGTTCATCCCCGGCTGATAGTTCTACGGCGTCCCTTAATACTCACAACGGGCGGGTTCTACACCAGGTGGATTGATTGACAGCACAAGGTACTTGGGGTGAGTCGTCCCGTGCTTGCGAGAAGCTGCGTTCCCGAACGGCTCCTTGGCCTTAACAACATCATAGTCGTTTCTCAGACCTTCTGGCGATCCTCATGTCCACTTCAGTTTAGCATCCTGTGCGCAATCTCAGTCTATGCCTGGTGTCTGCACCGACGCCGTTTTGCGGTTGGTGGTCTGAATGCAGCGAAGCACAGAACAAGGCCGTTTGGTGTCTGCTAGCATGACGTCTATCTCGCTGGGGACAACTTCAACGGCGAAGACGAGCAACACATCTTCCAAGAGCGGTTCTACTTCCATTGAGATCTCTCCGCATAAGACGACGTCCACGCCTGCTTCGCAGGAGCAGGCGTCGGCTACATTGCACCGGAGTACGCCGCCGCCGACGAAGACAGGGGACAGGAGATCGCTGAAGTATACGCTCAGCAGCCACTTCGCGCGACTAGAGACTGACTGATGGCGAATTTTAACAGCGGATACTCTTGAGAGTCCCTGGATACGGCTGCGCAAATTATTTCTTTGAAGGCTAATCCGCCAGCTTGGATGCATAAACGCAGTATATCTCTCCAGAAAATGCGCTGTACTCTCCTTCTCCCATGCATAGACACAATATATGGGCTCTGCCCGAGACTGTAGGTGGTTTCTTGGTTGTTGGTGCATCTCAGATTGTCGCGTGCTCGGTGCCTCCAGCAGCCAGCCACGTTTCCGGCCCCTGTGCAGTGGAGCAAGTTAACAGCTAGCTACCATTACTGGCCCAAACACTTTCTACTTGCCTTTCTCTCTGAGACAAATCGATACTTTACACGGCGTGCGAGCCATTCGCCTGCCGTTGAACCAGTATCGAACTTGCCAGGTTTCTCTTTTTCCACTGCCTCCAAGATAATCGCACTGTGGCTCGAGAGGGCCTCGAGAAGAACATCGTCTCCTGGACGCGTGAAGAATATAACGGACCAACGCTCGTACGCAGCTTGATTTTGGGGTGGGGGACTGTAGGCAAATACGCGTCAGGAGTATATGAATGAATAGAGTCGTCGACACGTACATAACGCGATGCATGCCCGAGCGCAAGATCCCTGCGCTGAATATACACAAGGCGTCGCCAATATTGCAGATGGCGTGACGAGGAATGGGCTTTAGAACTATCAGGTAAAGTTGTGAGTTCGTATACTTCAGACTCACTTTGACGTATCTCCACTCTTCAGAGCCTGGAAGCAGCACTTGAAGGCCTCCAATGACCCTATGATGCAGGATAGACTGTTAAAACGTGAGCAATTCCTGGGATGCCGTCAAACAAATGCTACAGGCTGACCAGTGAGCCGTAATCAGTGTGTGCACCTAGCGAAATCTTTATATCGGACAAGTTCTGGTTAGGAGGCGCTCTCAAGCAACGAGCTTCAGAGCCGCTGAGCATATGGGCCGCATGCTTCTGGGCGAGAGTTCCCGTCGGCAGACCGAGCTTGTCGTTAAACACATTGATCAGTGTGTTGTTGATTTCCACGGACCGCCGTACGAATGGAATGATGCTGGATTCCATCCTTGCGTCGACAGTTGACGGGTAAGTGCGACGTACGACCCTAGGCCATGCTAGGGCATCGTCCTTCGAGACCCCAATGCCTTCCATGGGCCCAGGAGTACCCGACGCATCAACAGCGGTCGAGCCTGAGGACCTATATCTACGTGACTCTGGTGAGAGGCGTAGAAAATCATGCCAGGATCAACAGAAATTTACCCAAAAGTATTGCCAGTGGTTCCTTGCGTGAAGTTCATCTTTTCATTTAATGGCAAGCCCATCGTCTCCGCACCCACTGCAAACATGCCGTCTGCCTCGTTCTCACAGCCATGATTCTTCAGGCTGAATATCACCCAGTGAAATGATCGGTCAATTTGGGAGAAGAAAGCACGTACTACCAGAAGCCAAGCTGCGTAGCTGCGTCCCACAAACGGTCAATCTCAAATGAGTCGCGCCTTTGGATGAGCCCGTAGTCAATGACTGCCAAAGGCACCGTGGGAATATCATCAGGGAACGGTGGAGGACCTGTGTCGGGCATGCTTCCGTGCTATGCTGCCCTAGTGAAAGATAAGATGGCCTTATACTCAGACGTCGCAACCTCATGACTAGAGAGAAGACCGGTGTCGCGGCGGACGGCCTTCCGCAGCAGCTCAAGAATAACGTGCAGCGCTAAGTGGCAACTCGTGCTCATGACGGTCGCGCGCCAGGACCGGAGGATGAGAATTGCTTCGACGGTGGCCTCGTCGGTTCTCGGAAGCTCTGGACGGCGCTGGATTGCCTACGGTAGCAATCGTCGCGACCATCGCTTCATGTCATCTGGCTCTTTCGGAGGCGAGTGAATGAGCCAAGGTCAGACTATTGATGTTCGTCGTCTGTGCTTTATGGCTGTCTTCCCACCTCGGCGAGGCGGAGCGTTGGGAGCGTGACCAATGTGGACCGACGTTCGTATCAGCATTGTATCCGGGGGAATCGCGCGAGTGGGTCGAGGTAGTCTGTGTCAGGAGCAAGTTGAGAACTCGCGCGCGCAGATCTTTGTCGAGTTTTATCTCATTCACCCACCCCTACATCGCAACCAGCAGCCCTTCATCCCCTGCTTTCACGAAGTCAATGTTATTGCCCAGAGATCAATTAGGGAGAAGAAAGGCAAAACATTAGCCCACCGCGAGGGTCGAACTCGCAGCCTTCAGATCGTCCTAGGGGATCAACCCGCCTTAAGAGTCTGACGCTCTATCCGATTGAGCTAGGCGGGCGATATTAAAAAGGGTGCTTAGCCTTCCTTGAGAGCTATGTCCTCGACGCCCTGCCGATGGATCATCGTTGACCTTTTCAACGCACTTCATCACCAGTATGAAAAGGACTTTGTGCATCCGAGCTCTCATGAGCGAGACTAGCTAGGCACGAACCGCATCTCGGCTTCGCGTGCCATCAGAGTCTTGCTGCCACTTCTTTCCCCTTCCTCTTGACATTCCCAGCGTTCACTAGCTCGTCACCTTTCTTACCTCCTTGGAAAAATTTCTCATTTTCCACCCACCACCGCATCGCATACTCCTTCTCTCCGTCCCCCACGCCCTCCATGATCTGCTTAAACACCTCATTCACGATTTCCTCCCTCTCTGTTCCCTCCGCCTCTGCTACCACTGCTCTAATGCGCTCGAGGGCACGAACGAGGAGGTGCAGGGAAAGGGAGGAGAGGGTCGACACAAACGTGAGATGCAACCGGTGTCGGCGTGGTGCATCGGTGGTAGGTGCAGAAAATAAATCGTCCAGGAGGAGCAGACAGTAAAACGCAAGAGATTCCGAGGTGATGGCAGCGCTGCTGACGAGAGAAGCATAAGCAAGGCGTAGCTGTGGTGTGTTGAGCTTATCCTCGGCCGAGTTCTGCACACCACGTCACTTTACTATGAAAGGAGAGTAATGGGAGCGCACCTCGAGCAAACACTGCGCATAGAAAGGCACAAGTTTCTCAATAAAAACAGGCCCGGAAGACGTTGAGAGACGGCACTCGGCATGCTTGCGGGCGTGCGCGGCGAAAAGAGCAAGAACGACGGAGTGTGCGTTCTCAAAGACGTCACGATCCGTTGAGTCGTTCAAGTACCTTCCGACCGGACGGTGCATCAGGCGGTACTGTCGTAATGTGAAAGAGGAACGTACAGAGAACAGAGAGGGAAGACGTGAGATTCGATGACTGAAGGGCTGAGGACGGGCACGAGCTGTTCAATGCAGGAGAGACGGACTGATTGCAGGGAGCTTTGGTACGGCGTAAGGCGCGATGACGATGAGCTGCTGCTCAAGCCCATGCTCCCTGTGGCGATGACATGATTCATCAATATCCTTCGTGACAGCAAACGAGTGAACATCGTCCCCGTACCTGCACGACTGAGCCCCCGGACGAACTCATCGCTGAGGCTAGGATCTGCGCTGAGAATGTCCAACGCGGTGTAAAACAGCTTTTTGAGTTCCGCAAAGCCGGAGGCACCGGCTGGTGCCACGATCGAAAGATGCTGCAATATGTCGAGCACGAGCAGTGCTAGTGACTCAGCACTTGGGGCACCAGGTGGTTGGCGGGCATACACAACAGAGGTAAGGCAGGCTTGGGAAACCATAACGGTCGCGAAGAGGAGGTACTTCAGCACATTCCATAGGGTTTTTGCGATTTCCTTCGAGTCGGCAGCTATGTGGGCTGGTAAAGCTGGCGTTCACAGAGCGCTATGATTCGGCGCACCAATGAGATTATCGCTATCCTTCACCGTAGAAAGTGGGGAGAGGGACCAATGAGTATTTGCCGCCGAGGCCATAACTTTTAACTGTCGCAGCACGTCTTCAAGCGCTTCCCATCCATCCTGTGGTCGCGTCTCCACGAGCAACGGTAAAATCTGCGCTACCGTGCGGCTGAGTAAAGGAATAGAGGTGAAGACGGTCGAGGACGATAGGGTGCGTAGGTCTATGGAGAGCTGCGATATCTGCCGTACGGAGCTGGATCCGCCATAAGGAAGAGAGGGGCGTTCGCGTTTGCTCTGGTCTGAGGCGAGGGAGAGCTTCTGATCAGCACCCATGGAGCACGATGAAGCAAGTGACTGGAGGAAGCGGCCAGACATGAATGCATGCTCAACTGTGTGCATGAGATGGGTGACAAGGACCTGAAGGGTCCGTTAGGACTTGAGCGAGATAACCTGCCGAGGGACGCACACGGAGCGGTAGCGCAGTTAAGCGTTCTCGGTCAATGTGACTTGTGAACTGACATGCAAATAACAATGACAACGAGAGAACATCCGCTAAAATACATCATTGAGCTTCGCTCAGCACATCTCAAACGGCCGCGCACCTTCGCCGTGCTCAGTCTCCGGACGAAACTCTTTCTCCCAGGCGTCGTCCCTCTGTGCACCGTAAACGTCCATGACTTCTGCCAGCGCGATCACGGCCTCATCTTCCGCGCGCCCACGCGCCGTCCAGCTTCTCCTACCAGCGCTAAGTTCGCCTCGCAGATCGTCGAGGCCCAGAAGTACCCCGCCAGCACCGACGAGCCGTATGACGCCCTGCCCGCCATTCAGCCCCGCAACGACCGCACGGGCCCAGAGGTTCAAACGGACGGACAGGCTCTGCGTGAGCAAGCTCTTCGGCTCCTCCTTCAACACTTGGAGCCGCGCGTGCACAGCGTGGCGGAAGGCGGTTGTTAGCGACGTAAGTTTCGCGTGCGAGAACGGCCGGAAGAGGGGCGCGCTGATGACGGTCGCGCAAAGGGGACTTGGTGTGGCTGTGCGGGAGAGAAAGTGGGTGATAAGGGATTGAAGGGTATCGAGGGGAAGAGGAGATGTGGGCTTGTGGAGATGGCTGAGCAGAATGGTGTATGCTCGGTCGCCAGGCTGGGCCATAGATGCGAAGCGGCAGCCCTCAGGAGACACTCAATAGGTAATGTTCAATAGGATTCTATTCAGATGGATCAAGATATTGAGCAGCCTATGGTTGATCTTGCGGTGCTGCAGGACAATGGTGTCGCCGTGATACGTTCTGGCATGATTCAAAACAGAGTCGCGCATGCGCCAGAGGATTGGTCGCAGCGCAATCACGAGCGCGCGTCAACATGTCCGGCTTCGGCTCCGGCCCGAACCTCTGAAACTTGTCTTTCTCGCACGACCGTGTCGGTGTGCTACTATGTGCAGATTAATATCCGCTCGTCTGCTCAGGCTGCTTAAAAACTGTAAAGAATGCATAATATACATGACTACGTAGGCCCACACTGTGTAAACCTCGATTATATCCAATTAGCCATTTCGTGCTGTCACGAAACAAAGATTAATGTCTGTGTAGAACGAGTTCCAGACCCAGTCATTATCCAACAAGGAGAGCCCGCAGTCATTGTGCCGGGCGCCCCTCCTCGAACATAGAACGTTGTTGTTCTTGACCTTTTGTGATTGATATGGCTGCAGGCCGGCGGAAGGGTAGCCTGTGTGAAGACGACATAGGAGGTGAACAAGCTTTTGAAGCCCAAAGTCCGCGGCCAGAGAGGCGGAGGCGAGCATGACGAGCATAGTCACAGAATGGTAGAGCGTCCGAAAAAAACCGTGTCCGTGGCTGAGCCCTCCAGGTCCGTATGGGAAATGCGAGGCCATGCTCCTTGCGTTGCCGCTATGTTCGAAAGAGCCGTTGTCATCACGTATCTCTTGAAACGTCGCCTTGCCTAGAAGAATTGCAGCAAGAATGTTTTAAATACGGCTCCGCATCCGCAGCAGCAGCCCCGGGCTGTCCAGATTTGGGGTCCCTCGGGAGATTCCCAGGTGTAGCATGTCGGGACTGCGCATACTGCGCGGAACTTGCGCCACGGGTGCACATTGGGGAGGAGCCTGACTTTTCTTGAAAGAAAAGGTAGCAGCATTTTTTGACGTCTGGAGTGAATAATAGCCGCAGTGCCGCATAGATATCCCAAAGAGTCGCCGAGGTTCAGAAAGACCCTGCTCACCAATTGCCAATGACGGCGAGATTTTTTTTTCGTGCCTATTATGATCCCCTATACCTGATTCATAGCAGGTAACACTCAACTAACCAAGTATACGGCGGTCAGCACCGCGCATCACGAAGGCGGCTCAAGACCTGATACATGATGCAACAGCCCGAGGCCTGCTCACAGTTGCAATTATAAGGATTCCCCTTCAGTGGTGGTAAGAGATAGCTCGAGCATAGGACCCTGTTCTTCGTCGCATCATAAGTGATTCCTATGTGAATGGGCGAAGAATCAGCATATGCAAAAGGGAAATGAACAGGCTGCAAACTATCTAGCCAAGCAGAGCTCAAATACGGGCAGAGCAATCCCATGGTGGCAAAGAGTATGGTGAACCTCATGCGGCAAATATCATAGTTAGAGGCATAGAATGACAGTGGGCACATGAGGTGACTGAGCTCGAGGATAGTGGAATGGAGGCCGGAAAATGGCGTGACAGCGACCGCGAAGCTAGATGCAAGGACAGCATATATGCATACGGACCAATATACTGGACCAGTTGACGAGATGGAAGTTAAGCGAGAGCGAGGGCAACGGACGGGAAGTCTATGAGCGTGTCGTACGGACGGCGGTGTCAGTCATGAAGGTGACGTTCGAGCAGATGGCCGGAACATGTCCACAGTACTCTGTGCAGAGCGAAGGGCTAGTGTCGTTTAGCTGCTGTCGCCCGGCTTCGATACTAGGCATGATATCGCCGCCAAGCATTCGACGGAGAGATACAGAAAATGCATTAGTGAGAAAAGAGAGCGCAGCGGGAGGTCTACCGTATGTATTAACGCCGCGACCTATACCATCTTGAGGCGCGTGTTAGGATCTTAGCTCTGCCAATTTGAATGGGTTTCTAGACACCTCCGCGCCCGTATTCCTGTCCAAGTTTACCTCTAGCTCCTAACGCCGCACTGCGCCGTTGACACTGCACTCAAAAGCCTGAAGTTGGTGCAAGGACGTCGTCCCAGGGCGTAATCCTATTCTTGCCTCCTGTCGGCAGTAGTCTTTCCTGGCACACTCGAGCCCGTGTTCTCGTTCCTCCTACGTCGGGACTAGTATGAAACCTTTACCCTGTGCTTAGGCCAGTCTTTGTTCTAGCGGACCTTGAGTCAGGACGTTTCTGCTCTCGATGGCCAGTGCCACCAGGAGATCAGGCGTACCTGCGACTCGCTATGGTGAGCGCCGGTCTTGGTATCCACAGTTGTTTGTCGCAGGTATCATCGTCGGGAATAATGCCTCCGGAGACGTCGAACTTGGTGAGATCCGAGC